ACCCCACCCCCCCCCCCCGACGCCCCGCGTGCCCCAGCCGTTACTACAGCCCGGTCCCAGCCGTTACTACAGACCAGTACCAGCTGTTAGCACTCGTGTCGGTGCAAAACAACTTCCTGTTAAAGACATTACCTAGAAGAGGGTGGGCAGTAAAACACCTGGAGGAGCGGGAAAAACCATGGAATGTGTTGAATAACATTTCTAATCTCCAGGGAAAACAAAGTTCCAAAAAGCTTCAACACAGGTGTGTGTGTGTGTGTGTGTGTGTGTGTGTGTGTGAGATGGTGTGTGTCAGTCTTACTGATTCTGGTTCTGGACTCACTCAGTCTGGACCCCAGTCCTTTGGCCTCAGCTGACCTGTCCAGGACAGAGTGGGTGAGAAGAAGAGAAGACCCCCCCCCCCCCCCCTCCCTCCCCCCAAAACCAACCAGCATCAACCAGACACTGACCTCTGTTTCAGGAGGTTCTTGTTGTCATCGATGGTCAGATGGTCATCATGGTCCTTCATGAAGGTCTCAAAGGCCTCCTGTTGACCCATGGACAGCTGTGGACCTGGGGACAGGACCAGTCCAGTTCAGGGACTCATGATGACATCACCAGACCCAGGGTCTTATAGACGGGGGGGGGGGGGGGGGGGCCCAACCCTAGGTCTGAGGACCAGTACCAGCCCTGGGTCGTGCGAGGTCAAACATTTTTTTTTATTTATTTACTTTCATTAACATCATTTATGAAGTTTACATTATTTTGAAGGAGACTGGAATGATGGTATGTCATCCGCCTGCCACCAGAGGGCGCTGGGTTTCATACCAGGTTTGAGCAGTTAGCACTGCGACCAGCGCAGGTTTCTACATCCCAATCTGGCAGCCAGATGTGAGCTCGACCCCCCACTGGCCCCCGCCCCCCAGGTTGAGTTGCCCCCTGCCTCCGACTAATTACCCTACACTGAGGCTATTAGACGGTCATTAGCAGCTGAGACAGAACATAAACACAGGCACAAACAGTCGTTCTCAACATGTCAGCATTACGTGCTTGGACGCCCCCAACTGGTGGTGGCAACTTGCCACATTTATAGCAACTACTGTACATAGTCTGGACCCAACATCCTGTTGCTTTTTAATGAGCTCTTCGTAGATGCTAACAAGACCTGGGACAAACTACGGCCCGTGGGCCAAATACGACCCACTGGGATTTCTAATCCGGCCCACCCAACACTAGTACACAATGACTATTTCTGTTGATGCCACTAGATGGCGACAGTCATTAGGTTTCCTCTTGTAAACTTTATGTAATTTATTTCACCAACATTCAGGTTCTGAACCTCATTTTGGCCCCAGAGTCAAAAGCGTTGGCGTCAGCTGTAGCTCCGAGAACCGTCCTCGGTTTCTACACTGCCCTCATGTGGTAGAAGTGTCCCAGAATATTCCAGAGCTACGTAGGAGCAGTGTGACGTCACACTACTTTGTTGTAAATTCATCTGTGGACTAATGAAATCACACAGACCTCCAGACAGTCTTGCTCGTTATTCCCGATCCTTCCAAACCAACCGCAGGGAAAACGGATTCAGCCGACTCAGCGAATGAGAGAAATCAAACTCCAGCAAAGAAATAAAGAACTGCAGTGACCTCTAATTTCATTACAAGAGGAACAATGTCTGAACCCCGCCGTACGCTGGGGCCCCCTTCAGGGGACAGGAAGATGCTGACTCGTGTCGACCGTCTCAGGTCGAGCAAACGAGTGTTAGAATCATCAGCATCTAATTACACGGCTGCAGTTATTTACGTTACGATCTTTATCTGCCTTCACGGCTCAGATGTCTCTGTAGCTGAAACACCTGGTCTCGTCATTAGCCGCGTTCTGACCGGGGCCAAACATCAGAACATCAGAACATCTGCAGTTCTACAAACGGACCAAACTACCGCCTCAGGAGAGTTTGTCTCCCCTGCAGACACCAGTCCAGCACCAGGACCTTTTATAAATCACCGTCAACTCCCGTTTGTCAGGTTGGATTTTAAATTTGCGAAGCCGAGAGTTCCGTAAAGAAAGACGGTCGGTGGAAAAAGACGAGTCATCCCAATGCCGTTCAGCTTTCCGTGGAAAGGTGGTCGTTGTCATCGTTACGTGTGCAGTTAATTTTCCGGGGACATCAGTTACCTACACGTCAACGTCCAGCGTGAGGACAGGAGACCAGCTCTGAATTAGGACGGAACAAACAGCTGCACTCAGTCGCTGCACGTACAGTTTGGTCGGACGTCTCCAAGTGGGTCACAGAAAATCAGCGGTCCAGATGTGAGATTCTCAGGATTTACCCCAGAACCCCCCCCCGGTGTTTTACACATTTGGTTCACGGAGACGGGAGTGGACCATTTCAGAGGATGTGAACTTTGTAACGCTGCTGACATCAGGAACGCATCATGAACTCAAATCTGTGACACTGAGAGACAATACCGTGTCAAACACAAGGCTCGTGGGCCGTATTCTGCCCGTCTAGTCACATTATGGAAGAAAAAAGTCATGTGACTTATGGACCAGGTTGGATGGGGGGGGGGGGTAAGACGATGGGTGTCAATACGGCCCGGGGTGAAGGTGAGTTTCTGACCTCTGACCTTCTCTCATCTTGGGATGAAAGATGCTGCGTTCAAGTACCAGGCTGTTGTGAACACCAGCCTTTCCCTGCTCCCTGGGGGGGGGGGGGGGGGGGGGTGGAGCTGTGGTGCGTCGGACTCACAGACAGGAAGTTCTCATGAATTATGAAGTGAACATTCCACAGTGACTGTGTAACTAAGGACAGATTTTCACTTTAAAACTCCACCGTGCTGGGACATTTATTCTCAGGAAATCAGGACACAAACAGTTTCCCATCAACCAATTAAATGCAACTTGTTGAATAATTACAGCAGCCACGGCTCATGTTGGGGGGGAGGGGGGGGAGGTGGCTGAGTCACCGTGTACAGCTGGTACCCTCCAAACCAGGGCTGGGCAAACTCTTTGGTTCAGCATTAGCTGGATGTGAATAAGAATCAACGAACAAGAATAAACCTAAACTTTCAAAGATAGTAATTTGGTACGTTTGATGTCGCCATCTAGTGGCATCAACACAAATTACAGTTGATTGGTTATAATGCATGAAACAGAAGGATTGACGTCAGTCTGTACCAGGGTTTGGCGGGCCGGATTAGAAAGCCCAGCAGGCCGTTTTTGGGCCCACGGGCCATAGTTTGATTTTTCCTGCATTTCATTAATTCATCGTTACATCAGCTGCTATTTCAGTTAATGCCAGGAGATGGCAGCAGACATCGTCCCTACGTTACAGATCTCTAACCACCGTAGTAGCACTAAACAACATGTGGTTGTGGATTAGGTCCAGATGAGGCCCATATGAGGTCCAGATGAGGTCCAGATGAGGTCCAGAT